AATATTGTTTCTGTTTCTAAAAGAGATACTGTGAGTTTACAATGACTGTAACGTTTACATCAGCATAGATAATGGGAGGTGTTGAGCTGGGGGGGACATCAGAGAAAGACTCAGGAACCACAAAGGCAAGAGCCTGGAAGGCAAGCAAAGAATGTGAATGGTCGCCCTGCAGATGTGGATTGAGGCGGCAAAGCAGTGCCTGCCCGCCTGCCCAAAGGGGCATCTGCTCCCGTCTCCAGAAACAAGGCCAGTGCAGACCAGTCTCCTCCATTGTTAAGAGAAGCTCAAACTCTGAATTCTTACATGAAATCTTTTCCATTCTTAAAAAAAAAAAGTAACCCTAGATGGGCCAAACAAAACATACCTGCAGACCCCATCTGGCTTGAGGATCACCAGATTTCAACCTCTCACGTAGGCTACTAGGTTCAAAATGAGTGACTTGTTTCTGGCTTATATATGTAGCCAGGAGTGGAGCTGGGGTCACAGGACTGGGTCTTAGGCAATTAACTGGCAGCCTCATTTTATACTATTTGGAATGAAATCACTAAGGCTACTTGAAAAAGGGTCTTCCATAAGACAGTCTTATCAAGAAACCAAACAGTATTAGGACCTAACACTGAGATCTCAGTAAGTAGCGACGAAGATGAATATATTGTAAGTGGAAATTTAAAGCTCTCACTGGGTCAGCCTGGATGTGATGCCATTTCCACTTTCAATGAACTACAAAAGCCATGTACCAGCAAATGGGTGCTCTAAAAGTTAATTCTCCTCTGGGAGCGCCTACAGCAATTAGAGAGAAGACAGAGGCGGAGGCTCAGGTCCCCTGGAATAGCTTCTACATCTGAGCCAGAGCTTTTACGCCTGAGAAGTGACTATTCCTGCAACCTGGGACAAGCTGTTGGTCATCAACTGCTATACCAGGAAATGGGGAAAATAGTCACTGTATTCTCCAATGAATATAATCTGAAATAAAATCCTCAGAGACATTTTCTTTCTTGCTCATTTCAGGGAGACAAACTGCCAGCATGCTTTTTTATTGTGGTAAAATACAGACAGCATAAAATTTACCATCTTAACGATTTTGAAGCGTACAGTTCAACGCACATGGCTGTGCAGCCATCAGCATCATCCATCCCTAGAACCTTCTCATCTTCTCCCTGAAACTTAGTGCCTCTTAAACACTAACTCCCCATCCACCCCTACCCCACCCCAGGCTGGCAACCTCCATTCTGCTTTCTGTCTCTATGAAATGGGACGACTCTAGGTATTTCTTATGAGTGAAACCATACAGTATTTGTCCTTTTGTTTCTGGCTTATTTCACTTAGCAGGATATCCTCAAGGTTTATCCATGTTATAGCAAGTGTCAGAATTTCCTTCCTTTTCAGGGCTAAATAATACTCGTGTGTGTGTGTGTGTGTGTGTGTGCGCGCGCGCGCGCGTGCACACGTCGTATGCACACACACACACATTTTGTATATCCATTCAATAGTTGATGGGCATCTCGGCTGTCTCCATCTTTTGGGTACTGTGAATAATGCTGCTATCAACACTGGCTTACTTTTTCCAGGACAATTTTTATTTTATTTTAAATATATCTATTAATTTCAAAGAGAGGAAGGGAGAGGGAGAGGGAGAGAGATAGAAACATCAATGATGAGAGTCACTGATCGGTTGCCTCCTGCACGCCCCCAACTGGAGCTCGAGCCCACAACCCTGGCATGTGCCCTGACTGGGAATTGAACCACGATCTCCTAGAGTCTAGCGCGATGCTCAACCGCTAAGCCACGGCTGGCCGGGCCCTGAGCAATTTTTAAATAAAGTTTTCTTAAGCCTTTGACTGCTATGCATACTGACACTCATTTTTCAATGATTAACAAACTACATTTATTCAGACCAAGAACTGTACAGAGAGGGATGTGAACTCTCATCTTCGTATTCAAGAACAGGCAAAGAGTTAATCAGTAAAAATGAATAAGGACTTCCTTTCAGGTGGCAGCTGCCGTGCACACGAATCTAAAGCACCTCACTTATTTCTACAAACACGAGCACCCCTTACCCAGCTGGACATCTGAATGTGTCTTAAGTTGAAGGTTTCAGATTCTCCTGTCAAAACAAGTCATCTGTCAGCAGGACAGATGCTGTCAAAAGCATTTCTGCACCTTTCAGTAGCAAAGAGGAGCAGAAAGGAACCTCAGGGAATTTGGTTACTGCCAATTGCAGCTTTCATTAAACATTTTGTCAGCCAGTGTCATAACACAAACGGTCCCTGTTCTTGCATAAAGGGTGCGCAAATCTTTGAATTGAGCCCAGCCATAGATATTCTTTCAACTAATCTGCTGAAAGATGACCGTCGGCCCACCCTTTGCAGCACAACACAC